TGCACAGAATCCTGGAGAGCTTCTTGCGTCAGGTGCGATCCTTAGCAAAACCGGCGGGACAAGGAAACACAAGCAAAGCATCACAAACGGCCAGGTGGAGGGGTTTGAGGGCTTGGGTTTATGGGATAAAGAGGTTGGGGAGCAAGTCAAGGGCGGGGGCCTTGAGGTGCTTCGGACATTGGTTAGAAGCTGCCCCCACCGTGTCATAGTGACTATAAGGATTATATTCGGGCCCTACTATATTCCTATTATACCACTATTACAGGCTGGGGGCCCCTTCTAGTATATACCCCACAAATTAAACATGATTCAGGAAGCTCAGTGCCCCAAGGAAATCGGAGCTACGATGGTGTTTGAGAGTTTCGGGGTGCAAGGGCTCAAAGTGAAAGGCACAAAACAGCCATACAGTACACCCCCGAAGCATGCAAGCGTATTTCACTCTCCTCAGACCTTGAAACGCGGTGCCTCTTCTTGGATGTGTGATATAAAATGAGATATATAACACCACACATTCAGGGAACCAACCTAAAGGTACGACCTGCTACCCTAAACCCCTAAACCCTACAATCAATTCAGGAAGCTAGGTAGACCCCGAACCCTCCAAACATCGACCTGCAAGCGGCCTTAACCCCGTCAACCGTTGAACCCCTACCTGGGGATCCACAGATCTGCTGTGATAAACAGGTCATACCCTGCTATGTTCTAGGGCTCTGAGTAGGGCTTAGGATACTCCGTAAATCCTCCAAACCTACCCGCAGCCAGGCCCAAGCCCTCAAACCCTCCCTAAACCCCTAAACCCTAAACCCCTAAACCCTAAACCCCTAAACCCCTAAACCCTAATTAAACCCCTAAACCCTAAACCCTAAAACCCTAAACTCACAAACCCTAAACCCGCTCCCCAAAAGACAGGGATCGCTTCAGGTGGAACGCCTGTGCCGAGGGCACCAGCTGCTCCAGTCGTCTCGGGCATATTCCTTCCAGCCTGCGCTCTGCATCTCAGGCCATAAAGGCACTACTATAGTGATGGATTATCAACATTTTTGAAAAAGTCCATAAAAGTACTATTATCGGGATGCATTATAAAGATTTGAAAAAGTCCATAAAAGCAATATTATAGGGATGTATTATAGATATTTTTTAAAGGTCCATACAGGCACTATGAAACGGATGTATGAAAAAGATTCTAAAAAAGTCCAGAAAGGTACTGTTAGAGGGATATATTAGGGGCCCTGATAAATAAGTATCGGGACCCCCCTTGAATGATCTGGGTTGCGGGCTTTGGGGGTTCACGGGTTCGCGTTGTTCGGGCTCTTGTCGGCTTGGGTGTTCAGGGCTTGGGCTTTTTTTAGGGCTTGTCCAATCTGAGGGGTGTACCTGTGGATCCATTAGCATACTGTGTTGAACAAGGGCTATGCGCTGTAAGTGTGGGTTCGTAGCCCACTATGTTGATGGGGGCGACCGGTATAACCTGCAACCCCTCAACATCTGCTACTAACCTTATTCATTAAATCCTAAAGGACCTCGACCCTAAACCCTAAATTAGTTCTTAACCATACCTTAAACTACCAGAACCTGCTTTCATTTTCGAACCTGCTACTATTACCCCTCATTTAGACATGATACAGACCCTACAAAAAAGAAGGTTCTGGTAGTTCAAAGTAAAAACCCTCAACCCTAAATCCTAAACTAAACCCTTCTTAGGGTTGTGGTCCAGGGGGTCACGGCTTCAGGCCTACCCAGAGAAGGGTATACAGGCTTCTCTCGAGAACCCGAACCCTAAACCTCTAAGCACCCATATATTCAAGCTTTTGGGCCCAAAGACCATATATTGTAAAAGGCTGTTGGGCCTTTTTGAGCCTTAGGGTAAGGAAGCCACTCAGCGAACATCAGCTACGTCGGGCTTGAAACCTTAGTTGCTGAGTTCATAAGCCCCCCAAAAGTGTACACTTTCAGATCTATAGTGGGGAATATTATCCAAAAAAGTGTAACGTGTATTCACTCAGCTACTAAGAAACGAAAGTTCCGACATGATGCCGGATCTCGTCGATGCCCACGTCTCGAAATGCAGGAGGAACCTGCAGCGGGAGGGTTGTCCAAAGGGTGCAGTCGCCTTGCTTACCCTAAGGCTCAAAATGGCCCAAAAGCCTTATGTAGTATGGTCTCTGCACCCAAAAGCGTTAATATATGAGTCCTTGGAGCCTTAGGGTTATGATCACGCCGTAGCGCATAGAAGGTTTCCGGGTTCGGCTCCTTACTACGGTTTAAATGTTCAGGGTTTAGGGGCTTAGGGCGTCAGGGGGTTTGTGGTTTAGGGTTGATAGGCTAAGGGTTTAGAGTTTTCGGCTTGGGTACCCTGACCCCTGGGCCCTGAAGCAATGGAACCTTATGCACGGATTTTTTTTGTTCGGCTGTAGGTTGTGCGCATATACCGTGATACCTTCATTGTAACACCTGCTTCGGTTTTCCTGTTCTCTTTCCAGGGCCTAGGGGATGTACCCACAGAACTGAACTCATGAGTCGAAATAGAACTACAATGGAGGGATCTCAACACGTCAAGCCATGAGCTTTGTTGGAGGTTGAAGGTACGCTAAACGGAACTCAAAAAGTGCATACACGCCGACTATAGTTCCCGTGACTATACCCACTTATAATATCAGAATGAGTGTTCCAAGTGTATAGTGATAGTTAGGTTCCGTGAATCTGCGTGCATCCTACACTTACCGCATACCAGGGCCGACCCGCCAAAAAAAAGGCCTCGTCCTCCTTCATCAGATATCGTGTCCAGAACCTCAGATGTACGACACTTCAGTCTGTATGTATTTCGGGTTGATAGGGTTATAAAGCTATTTGCGAGTTTCAATCGACAAGGGATCGCAGTGACCCCAGCATCGAAGACACAAGAAGCCCCAAATAGCACCGCTTTTACTTCTCGATATGACCCTGAGCCCAAACCCTGTGCCTCCAGGGACTTTATTATGGGGTCCTTAAGGGGTCTAGAGCCCTAACTATGAGGTCCTTGGAGGGATAGGGAGACACTAAGCCCAAACACTAAAGATCACCACGGCCAAGTGTTGAGCCCAATCGGGAATGTGGGTAACTTTCTCGGAAACCGAAAACCCCAGCTACCCTAAACCCCAAACGCAACGCTGGAGGATCTCAAGAGTTTGCGCTGCGGGTTTAAGGTCTTGGGGCTTAGGCTTTTTCTAGGGTTTAGTTCGGGCTTTCGGGGCCCATTATACTATAATCATAAAGAAGGACACCCACCCCCCACCAAAAAAAAAAAAGTAGAGGTAATGATCAAGGCTACTAGATGAGGCTTTTTCTAGGGTTCAGTTTAGGGTTCTGGGGTCTCAAAGTTGAAAGGGTCGTCGTAGTCGAGGGTATAGAGCTGGGGCCTGAAGAGGTTTGGGATCGATATTCATGAAATTTCAATGCAATTATAGTACCCTAAGGCTCTACGGCCTGATATATGAAGGCTTTTGGGCCCAAAGACCATACTACGTAAGGCTTTTGGGCCATTTTGAGCCTTAGGGAAATAATCCTGCAAATGATATCAGAGCTAGTCATCAGAGCTAAAGAAGTATGACTCGTAGTAGTCATGATAGATATAGATGAAAATAATTGCCAGCTGCAGCCAAGCTTGCCACACCAAGAGCGAGGGTATCAGTGATGCCACGGCGACTACGCCGACCAGTAGCAAAAGTCCATGGACGTCTTGCATGGCCTGTGTCAGGCGTTTTCGGTTCAGCGAAGACTTATGCTTCAACCGCGAAACCTAAACCACGAATCCACCTGAAACCCTAGGACTCAAAGGTAAAATGCTTGAAAAGCTATCATCTGCATCCCATACCAAAACGTATACACCCTTGGGGATACGTACTGACAGCACCCTGACCCCAAACCGCCCATAAAACCTACCGAGAAGACCTTGCAGCTTTACCCCCTGGCCAACAAACCCTAGGGATCTAAGGACTCATGTATTAAGGCTTTTTGGCCCAAAGACCATAGCATATAAGGCTTTTGGGCTATTTTGATCCCCAGGGAAAACTTAAAGCCAACTATGCTAGACTGCTTAAACCCCAAGCCGAGCCCTCACAGGAGGAACTCAAGCGGCTGGTAAAGCCTGTAACCCCTTACAAAGGCCCATGAGACTCTTAGCATCTGTTAAGGAGCAAGAACTGCCCCTCTCTAAAAAGGCTGTCCGGAACCCTCATGATGTCAAAGCGTCTTGCCTCTAAAGAGGCCCACACGCCCTGAAGTCGGCTCTGATATGGAACAGCTGCAGCGAGAACTGGCAGGATTACAAGCGGCAGGCATTCTGACTCTATCGAGCTGTACTACTTGGAGGTTCATGGGTAGTTATGAGTAAGAAGGGTTGATAAGTCCTCTAATCTAGGCTATTGTACATCTATGAAACTATGAGTGTTCTACAAGAAAAAACCCACTTTGCGACTATCCATGAACCTCCAAGTATAGCTTCAGGGTTTGCAATCGTTTTCTGTGGGTTGCCGTTCAACAAGGAAATTGCAGTGTTTTCCGGCCTCAACGACTTTTGGGCTTGGAATTTAACTCGAAGCTGTAATCCCAGGCACTCCTGCGACCCGTCTTGTCCATTATATATTTCCTGGAACTGACGGTTGTAAGCTTTTGGGCATTATACCCCTAAACCCTAAATGACCCTAAACCAAACCGTAATCCCTAAACCAGAATTTACCCTAAACCCCAAACCAAAACTACACAGGTATTTATTCTAGCACCGCATCAAACCATAGCCTTCCGGCTCTTCTGGGACGCAGTATTCTTTGGACCCTAAGAGTGCCTGTACGACCCGGTATTATACCGTCCTCAGAACCGTTATAGGGCCCTTACTGTATTTTCGCATGTTTTGTCGCGAAGATCGCCTAAACCCTAAACCTTAAACCCTAAACCCTAAACCCTAAACCTAAAACCCTAAACCCTAAACCCTAAACCCTAAACGTCCCAAGGCCGTGCCAAAGCTCTCCAGCGTCTCCGGATGCGACTCGCCCAGCCGAACCTGACTAAGCATCCCCTAAAGCCTAAAACCCTAAACCCACCGGGTCCCAGGTACTGTTATGGGGAATACTTCTCGAAATCATACTAGTAATTCCTGATACAGAAATCCTACACTCTATCATACAGGTACTTCGGACCCTTTGGGAAACCCTTAACCCGGTTTTGTTGTGGTTTGTGGACCCATGACCCCGTACTTAGCCATCCTTGTAGAAGGGCTGTATTCGGCTTCCTGAGTCTTCGAGCGAAGTGGGCTCCAAGCACCAAACCGATCACAACCCTTGCACCGTAAAACCCCTAACTCAAAAAACTAGGTTCTTGTTAGGGGATTTAATCTAAGTTACCATAATAGGGATCTGCAGTAAATAGTATGGCTTCCTTACTTATGGCAACTTAAGCTTGGCTGACTTCTGAACCCCTCCTAAAATTTGAACGTTTAACATCCTTATTAGAGTTCATACAGAAACCCAAGGAGTTAAAGTCTTAAGAGCCAACCAGAAGAACCCCAAGTAAATTACACCCCTTAACCACCCAGAGAGCCCAATACCCCTTAAATTAAGGAATATGGCTTAAATTATATAGGGCTTCATATTATGATTTAAGCTATATTCCTTAATTAAGGGGTATTCGAATCCCCTAAACCCTAAGCCTATAGATCCCTTATAGATCCCTTAAAGGAGCCCTAGGGCCCAGGTATATTCCTTTAATTTGGGCTCTCTGGGAAACCCAGAAAAAAAGTTCTTCTGGTGCCCCTACCGGGGGGGGCCGGGTCTCGAAGCCTCAGACATCCGGGAGCTTCTGGAAAATCACGGACGCTTCATGTAGGGGCCTTAATAATTACCAAATTTGGTGGTTCCATATGGTAATTATAGCATATCGGGCCCCAAAACCCTCTTCTAATTCTTAAGGCCCCTTTTTTTGACATGCTAGGGCTTGAAGCGGCCGTCGGATCCACAAAAAAGACGCAAGTCAAAACCCCTGTGCCCTAAATCTGAACCCTAAGCCCGAACCCCGAAACCCTGAGCCCTGTTTACGTCCTACCTAGAGAGGGTTTAGGGTTTAGGGTTTAGGGTTTAGGGCCTAGAGTCTCCATTGTAATTCTTTGTTTATTTAAACAGATTGACTTTACTTAGGATCGTAGAAGGTAAGCCAAAAAGTGGCTACAATGGAAACTATAGGTACACCCTGGCCCTGAACCCTAAACCCTAAACTTACCCTAAACCCTAAACCCTAAGCCCTAACCACCCTGACAGGCCTCGCTGGCATCTAAGGCTTTTCGGTAAAAGACCTCGGCCTCACAGAGGAGGTAGGAGGGTTTGGGGCTTAGGGTTAGGGGTCTAGGGTTGTCGGGGCTTGGGGTGGAGTTTGAGTCTTACTTCAGGGCCTCCCAGGGCTTAGGGTCTAGGGCATAGGAGGGTTTGCGACTTAGGGCTTAGGGTTTATATATATATATATATATATATATATATGCAGGGCTTCGCAGCTTAGCATGCTATCTGACAAGCTATACAAACCCTACGTGTGGTTTAGGTTTGATCTGGTTTAGCCCTTGGATTGGTTTTTTCAGAAAACATGCAGGCAAATCTCAGAACACAGCAACAGTCCAGGATCCAGGTGTTGTGGGGCTTTTCGCCTGTTTAGGATTTAGGGTTTAGGATGTTTAGGTATAGGGTTTAGGGTTTAGAGTTTAAGGTTTGGGGTTTACGGGCTTTCCATCTAAGCACCTCAAAAACCAGGCAGAAGTACTCCTTCGCAAGCCCTGTGTAGACACGCTACAGTAGGTCCCAGCACGCCAGGCACCCTGCAGGATCCGCACGCTTCCCAAAAACCCTGAAGCTTCGGAAGTGCTTGGAGTTTCGATTGTGAGTTAAGGTTTGCGGGTTTCAGGCTGCTGAACCCCAAAACAGTATGGCCTCCACCTTCAAGGGCTAGGGGTTGAGGGCTTCGGGCAAAGGAGGAACCTAATCGAAAAGTCCGGCAATCCCAAGCTACAGGTTCTGGATGCAATCTCCATCAGTTGTCAAGTTTCTGAGGGGAACAACAAGTTAGCGTGTGGGTCAGACAGGGACCAAGGGCCCAGAAACCCCAAGAACAACCAATGATTAGGTACTTGGGTCTAGGACTTTACCTTTGTAGGAACATGCATGAGTACTAGGTACTTGAGGCTTTAGTGTACTCGTGGGATGTTGGGCTGTCGGAGCCCTAAACCCCTAGATCCATAACCCAAAGCCGACAAACCCTGAAACTAAACAACCACAGCAGCAAACCAAAAGAAAGACAAACTCTACCACTACGTTTCTACTCAAAAACCTTCACAAGTGCACAAGTTTGGCAGCCATTCTTGGCCGGGAACGATGTTTTGGTTTAGGGACTAGGGTTTAAGGCTTGGGTCGAGAGTTCCAGGTTTATGGACTTAGGGATTCGAGTTCACCGCTCTGTGCTTATGGTTGAGGTTCAGGGTTTAGCTGCTACGGCCCTGTCTGCAAACCCCCATTAGCAGCATGATCATCAGCATTTCTGTTAGTATGAAGATAAACACGAGCAGGCGCATCAACACTGTCGCTGCAATCGCCATCGTCATCATCATCAACATCATCATCGTCGACATCACCATCGTCAGCATTATCATCATCACCTTCATCATCATCCGTGGCATCGTCACCAGCAGCGGCATCATATCTTCGTCAACGTCATCAGCATCGTCATTATCGTTACCACGAGCAGGGCCATCACCAGCATCATCGTCAGCCGAAACAGACACCAATAGCTGCACGCCGTCCTCATCCTCAAACTATCCCCATCACAAATCGCAATCGCCATCACCATCGTCATTCGGATCACCGCCGCCACCACCACAACCAACTGTCCACCCCCAGCATCATCATCATCATCAGCGTCATCGTTATCATCACAGCTGTATCCAATGATAATGCCATCATGTTTGCCCGTATCATCATCGCTGTCGATTTCGTCACCATTGCAGAACCACCATCACCAAGGTAATCATCAAGGTCATCAACAACAGCATTCAATTGCTTGTTCGGAAGGGCTGCCGTTATAATGAAAGGCACGTGCGGCGCGCCAGAACAAAGAAGAGTCAACATGTGAGAAACTTAACGACGAATACAAGTGTTGCGGTCGCGGCTGCTACTACCCGTCATAGTCAACATCCGCAATGTCACCAATTAGCCCCCTCATCAACTATCATCGTTGTGACCGCCGCCATTACCAGCAACACATCACAGTCGTCACGATCATCATCAAGATCCCTACCAGCATCTGCATCATCAACAACAGCAGCACAGGACATGTCGTCAGCCTCTTCCTCCTCGCGCTCTCGTGTTCGTCATCACCACCACCAGGACCACGATCTACACCAAAGACGCACACTGTTATTCCCGTCGACACCATCACCATCACCACCACCGCAGCCTCCAGCAGGTTGTCCTGGTCATCTAGGAGCACTGCTAGGTTGTGGCACACCTGAGAAATGGATTGACATGGGCTTCATATTTCCTAAGTATCTTAAACACCGTTATACTATGTATCACGTCTCCTATCATAAAAAGTATAATGGGTGATAAATACGATAAAGTACATAGTCTAAAGCACGCGTTGTATGTATGTAACACAATGTAAACATGTAAAATTTAGTGCATGGTATACAGCATACAGTATATGGAACTGAATATAGTATAATACAGTATGTACAGATGTATTCTAAATGCCATACGTATGCATGTGCATGCGAGTAACATGCATAGTATTCGGCACATGGTGTATGGTAAAAAGTATACAGTATCTAATACACATAATTTGGTATGCGTGATATGGCATGTGGTATCAAGTATACACCCTATACTTCACAATGTATAACAGATAAGAAATACTAATTTGTAAATCGATGGTATGTGAACATCATATATAGTGTGTAAATCAGTCAATATATAAGCGTATAATGTACGATGTAAAGTGTGAAAGACATAACAGAACAATATGTCATGTATAGTATATGGTGAATAGGATATACTCGAATACAGTGTGTGCATACATACATATATTTATATATATATATATATATATATATATGTACATATATAGTTTGAGAAACCTGACTGCTTAATCAATGTCACTGGAGCCCTAGGGTAAAGTTGTATCCCGAGAAAGCCGCAGTGGTTCAAAGGCTTCGGCAGTAGCTGTCGTTGGATGAAGCACGCCGAGCTGCTCCTTTGGAGAATGTCAGCACTTGACTTGGGGCACGGGGTTCCTGTTGAAGGCTCGTTTGAGGACTTGCCCTGAGCGTTCCTTTGAGGCTTAGAGGTTGAACAAGTTATGTCGTGCAGGGCCTGCCAGGAGGATCGGAACAGGGGCGAGCAAGTAGGATTACAAGCGCGGTTGGGGGTATGAACTTGCCCTCAATATCCCTCATTCTTTAGCCTTCCTTCCTAATTTGAGTTTGCATGCCGTAGAAATTCCGTGGCAGCCGCCCTAACCCACAAGAGCGGGAAAGTTCGTGCTATGCCCGAACCACAAAGCGAAAAAAACATGCTGAACACGCAACTCCTGAACCCCAGACACGAAAATCCTAAACCCGCAGACCCTACAAAATGCTAAACGCCCAACCCAAAGCGCTATGCTTGCAGCCTCTGCCCTGAAATAACTAGTGCAGACCACTGAAAAACAAACCCTGGCATTTCGAGGTACCTTAAAACCTTTGCGGGGTTTTGGTTTGCGAGCTGGGGCTACTCTTGCATGCATCACAGTGCGTTAGGTTGCGGTGCTGGCATTTAGCTTCGGTAGGAAACGGTCATTGCAAACAACAACCAACATTCGTGACCAATGGTTCCTGGAAGGGCTGGTGGTTTAATTGGGGTTGAGTTTGCAGAGCTTGATGATGAGAAGGGTTTCGAACTTTGAGTTCGGGGTCTACAGGGTTCACGAGGCCCTAAACCCTCAACCCTAAGCCGTATGAACAACAGAACCCAGACTCGTCAGTGATTGGCCATGTCCCAAATCGATCACTGGACAAATCGTGCTACTTTTCCAGCTTTGACATGAAACCCTGTAGCAGGCTACTTCTTTGTTGGGCCCGACAGAAACATCCCTCTGACATCCCAGAACGTCTTACAACACAGTGCAAAGACCTGTAATGGTCTATAAATTATTACCAAACCTTGCAAGCTCCTATCGTTTCTTTCAAACCGAAGCCTAAATCGTTTACAGTCCAATTTTGAATATACTTCTACTAAATGACTAAGTTCTACAACCAAACCCTAGTCTATTTATTTAGGCTCCTATAGCTTACATACCCCCATGGTAAACCCCATAGCGCACTGTTAGCAAGAACCCCTACAAACACCCTGCCCCGTTTTTGAATCATTCTGGTCCCCATAAGCTGAAGCCTAGACCTCTAAACCATATAGCTCCTCCATATTAACGTTGACCCTGTATAACAAACTCTAAACCCCCAAAGCCTAGACCCTAACCCCCCCCATAAGCCCTCCATCTATACAGTAATCCTATGTCGCAAATCCTAAACCCTCAACGCCACCCCCCCCTACATTAACCCTATGTCGCAAACCCTAAACCCTAAACCCTACCCCCCCACAACCCTAAACCCTAGACCCTAACCCCCCGAACCCCAATATTAATACACTCAGGCTCTCCTCCAGTCCCTGGGCCGACTGACGAAGAAGCTCCTCAGCCTCATTAATCTGGGGGCCGTACCCAGAGAGCCCAATACCCCTTAATTAAGGAATATGGCTTAAATCATAATATGAAGCCCTATATAATCTAAGCCATATTCCTTAACTAAGTCGTATTGGGCTCTATGGGTAATGTCGGAACCTGAGGGATCTATAATAGGGGTTAGGGTTCCTTTACAGGGGTCTATAAGGGAACTATAATGTTGCTATACTAAGGGTACTATAGTAATGTAGGAACCTGATTAAGAAACCTTGTGGCCTTGATTAAGGTTCTTGTATGAACCCTACTATTTAGGGGTTACCAGGCCCAGGGTTCCATAATTAGGTTCCCACATTATTGATTTGGTTTAGGGTTTAGGGCTTAGGGGGTTTAGGGTTTAGGGTCTTAAGGACTTAAACAGGGCTCCTTTAAGGGTTCCTTTGAAGAGTTCCCTTTGAAGGGTCTTATCAATGGTAACTAGGTGGGTTTTGAGTTTAGTATAGGGTACTTTAAAAATAGAATAAGGGATTCTCATCGTAGACTACAGTGCGTTTATATCGAAGAAGTCTACGAAATGATATTGGCAATTGATCACGCTTCGAGGTCTCTGTGTATCGCTGCAGTCTGGAAATCTACCAAGAGTTTCGAGCCTTCAGGGAACGCTTGAAAGAACCCTTAAAGGAACCTTTTCAGGACCCGTTCTGTGAAGCTTTTTCAGCCTCGAAGTGTACATGTATAACCCTACGGCTCGAGTTTAGAGTCTGGGGTTTTAGGTAAATTTCGCGGTATACTGGGTACATCATATCGGGTTTGTTTTAACAACTGTTGGGGTAGCTAGAGACCCAGGGTCTAGTGAAGGGTTATGGGGTTTGAGAGTACTTCGTCGAAGTCAAAGGGTTGGGGCTTTGGGTTAGGGTTGCGGCTTCCGTGTCGAAGCCTAAGCAATCAGATCGCCCGAAAAATACCCAAGCCTCAGGGCTTTCAAAAGCAGAGACTGCGCCACAGCACAGCTTTCCGGCTTTCCCTATACAAAAAGTCGCATCTGCCCTTGCCTTTGAACTTGTTCTTTGCACGCATCTCGTAGCATGCTGTAAAGACCAATTGCAACTTCTGGCCTTCGCCATGGCCTGGTCCGGAACTGCTGCTTTCAGCTTCTTAGCAGCATCGTGCATGTTTTGACAACCCGCAAAAGACGCACTTTGGGTCGCGGTCGGCGGCCAGCCTTCAAAAGCTTGGCAGCCTTCTCCCAGACACATGCAACACCAAGTCCTTGCCATCAGTGGTCTGCGGGGCTGCACCACCCTCAGCATGGTGCAAGGCTGCACAGCCGTCGGGCTTGCGTGGCTCCAGGGTTGCCTGCCTTGCTCATAATCCCAAAGGGTCCTATGTACTGTTATGGGGAATACTTCCCCAAATCATAATAGTAATTCCTAATATAGAAACCCTACATTCTACTATATCGGTACTTGGGACCCTTTGGGCATTAGCCTAAGCCCTCCTGGGAGTTTTTTCAAAGAGACTTGGGGCTTCTCGCGTCAAACTGCAGAACAAGTCGGCCTCTCGAAACCTCTGCGACGTCTTCTACTGGTCTCTCCACAATAAAGCCCAAGCTCTGCACTCACATATACTCACTCCAGCAAAGCCTCTTACATCTATGATATCTATATTTACTTATATGTACATATGTATGTATATATGCATGTGTATGGATATATACACATACACAGCTATATATGTATATATGTATGTAATATAGGCACACACACACAGACTCAACAAAAACCTTGATGCCCCGTGAGCTCGAAGTATAGGAATCGGGGCGAAACCCCGAAACCAGCAAGCCGCGAACCGGCCCGATGTCTTCCATTGCTTCAGCACCACAGGGTTTCCACTCTAAAGTGGGTCCATGACAAAACTAATTTTGGCGCTGAGCTCTGTACCTCTTTCATGTCACCGACAGCCTGGCAGAGCAAAACAGGCAGACTAGCGCGGCAGGAACGATAAGTTCTCCGCGCTGAGGCTACATGGATTGGAGAAGACTGAGAACCCAAGAAACAAAGATAACGACAGAACGAAACAAATTGACACAGGCGGGCAGACGCCACATGGAACGTTGCAAGGCGAATTCGCGGTTGAACCCATTGCTAGTGTTTCGGCTGTGATCCACACCCTCTGGCTTCAATAATGGTCTGTAAACTCCGAGCTGCTTTCCCGAAAGCATTACTATACTGAACTTAGAACCCTAGCAAAAATTATAGTTTTAGCTGATTCTTAGGGAATATAATAACCAAAAACTAAAAACTATTTCTACGCACCCCTAAGATTACCAACAACAACTTCCGGCTTCTTCTTCAGCGGATAGGCAATGAGTTCGCTCAAGTCCTGACTACCCAGAGAGCCCAATACCTCCTAATTAAGGAATAACTATAGCTTAAATCATAATATGCAGCCCTATATAATTTAAGCCATATTCCTTAATTAAGGGGTATTGGGCTCTCTGGGTACACCAGACTCGTGAATGCTAGAGTTCGTGGTCCAATGTTTGTTGACTCCGAACACAATTAGTTATCTGGGGCCTATTGTTTAGGAGGTGGTTTAGGAGTTTCCAGAGACTCTCTAAACTGTAGACGACGCTTTAATAATCGTACTTCCTACAATAGACGCCCTGCTTGGTACTTGTGTTGGTCAACTCCCAGTCTCCAATAGTCACTGAAAGTCGCGCTGCTGCCACGCAACCTGATCCAATACTCCTTCACCCACCGTTGCCCCTAAACCCTAAAACCCTAAGGTTTAAGATGTAGCGAGAGGGTTTTGAGCTCAGGCTGTAGGATCCTGATTCGACGAAGTATGTAGTCCGACCCGAATCCTCCCAGCAGCCCCAGACCTCAATCCTGACCCACAATCCATAAGCCTAAACCGCTACACCCCGAAGCCTAGACCCCTACTTGGAGGTTCAGGGGTACTTATAGGTGGGGCTAGCAGTCCCCTAATGTAGGTTACAACTTATACAGTTATCCTTTTGCTTAAACCCCTGCTTATTATAACTACACATGAACCTGCAAGGAAATCCCTAAAGCCCTAAACCCCAGCCTACACCATAAAGGAACACTTATTAGGATGAGGAGCCTGTTCGGGAATATCGTCGGGGTTTAGGGTTTTTTAATATATGTGTAGTGACTTTTCAGTCTGCCCGCAGTCGGCTTACACACAGGTGACTTCCACCGAGATTCAGTGTCAGTCACAAAAACCCTTGACTCAGTACTCTCTTGTGCCAGCTCAGGGGTTTAGGGTTTAGGGCTTAGGGTGGTCAAGGAAGCCTTTACAGAACCCGTACAGCACTTGCAGCTCTTCTGCTGCCTGGAGCTCCGCAGCAAGCCTCGCACCCGCTATCAGCGTCTTGACATGTTCCGAGCCGTAGGCCTCAAGAAGGCTTAAATAGGGTTGAGGGCGTTCCAAAAGGGTCCAGAAATTATATAGTGCAAACTGCCGGGGCCCAAATATCTACTAAGTAGCTACTGTATTGGTACGTGGACCCTTTGGGTGTAGGGTTGAACTAGGCTTAGGTTTGGGTTGAGGCTTTAGATCTTTGCGAGGTTGGGGCTCTGGGGTTTGGGGCATACAGTAGGGCTTTTAGCGTTTACCTTGTCTTCGGGATGGGCTCGAGGGTTTTTTTTTTTGAGCTCCTTTTCTCCAAGCCAGCAGGTTCGAAGAGGCTGTAAAGCCAGGACAACAGGGCACTTTACGCCCCGTTGGAAGAAAACCCTCAGGAGTCACCCTCATTGCCCGCAGTGCCAGCCACCAGGAGACACGACCCCGCAGAACAAAGCGACACCAGTCACATTCGCCACTGGACCCAGCATAGCCCTCAACTCTCGAATTGGTCAGCTGGATCTTCTGGTAGTGGTCGCAGTGGGTAAGCCGCTGCCCCTGTGTCATCCGGAGGTAGAACTGGCGCCACTCCCGGCCCTGTTGCAAGCAAATCATCCACCGCGAGGTCAATCTGCGTAACAGCTTGCCCCACATTGTGCTCTCCCCCAGGTCCACCGATGTAGTGATCCTCTTCGTGCCATGTCCCCTGCTCATGCAGTGCCTTAGCCGACTGAAAGAGCTCCAAACCGTGGGCACCCAGGGCATGCATCACCTGGTCATCCGATGTGTGTCCTGCCAACCAGCTTCGGTAGAGGTCCCCTTGAGGTTGAGGCGAGAAGGGCACCGTCGTCTGTGTGTCAGACGCTTGCTCCATCGCCCACTGAACCTGCAGCATCTCCACCACCTGCTGCCCATGCTGGCCTTGGATCTCCGCCAAGCTGGTAGTGCCTGTTTGTAGAGCTCGTCGCAGTTGTTCGTACTGGTCCACCCCCAATTCACCGGCACTTGCACTGCAGTCACCCTCTCCCGGAGCCAGGGTGCCACATGGCAACTCCCTGGGTGTAGGTTGCTCCGGCACCGGCTCTGTATCTGCATCACTGTCCTCCATGTCCTGTACCAAGCGGATGCAGATGTTGAGCTGTGTGGTGTCCGTGGGGAAAGTGAGTCGACGAACCACTCGAGGCGCGTCAGCACTGCCCGAGCTGAGCTCCAACTGGATCCCCTTCCGCTTCGAGCGGGTCTGTCCCGTCTGGAGCGATTTTGCCATCACCCGGTCTTCCCACTCCTGGTAAGCCCGGCCCTGCTCCTTCTGGTTCTGGAGGATGTGTTCCCGGACACGCTGTTCTTCATATTGCTCTTCCTCCTCCCTGCGCCGCTGTCCCTCATCCTCGGTAGCCTCGGGTTCCCTTTCATACGCAAGTTCACGGTCCAAGATCACAGCCGGCAGGTCACCATGGAGCGGCTGTGCATCCGCCGAGTCAATTGCCACTGGGGACCCCGGTGAGCTCGGTGGCGTGTTTGGCTGGTGATGTGGTTCACACCAGGCCGGGCGTTGACTGCACAGTGGCACTCCCCGCTGAGCTCTGGATCCAGTTGCCATTGGTAGGTATGGCTGGACCCTCTGCCAAAGTTGCATGACCCGGTCCTCGTCCGGTCGGCACTCCATGACCCTTCCCTTGCGCTCTTCGAAGGCCACAGTGAGGAGAGCCAAGAGGTCCGCGGCGCGGCCGGTGACGTGGCCCACCACCAGTCCGGCTCCCCAGTTTGTGCATTTCCAGTCCAGCAGCTTCAGCAGGAGCAAAGAGCATGAGCACTTCTCCTCCTGCGTCATCCCTTCCAGAGTCTCCTGCAGGAGTCGTAGCTCGTCGTACCAACCATCGTTCCTTGCCGTGCTTTGCTGCATCAGTGCAGCCGTGTCCTCTTCAATTGGAACTTCCACCTCTTCATTGTCTCGTTCATTTGCACGGGCAAGCTGCACCAAGTTACCGACAACCTCGAGGATCCGTTGTGTCACCATTCCGAGAGAAGCTAGGAAGGTGACTCTGTCTTGCAACGACAAACCCAGAAAGGTCTCGGAGATCACATTGCATTGAAACGTGGTCGGGAAGGAGTCCGCCGGGGCATCTTCATCCATAACACCCAGCAGAATAAACCATAGGTCACGTGCTTCCTGGGCGGACATGGGAGTTCCAGGAGTCGGAGCTGGCGATGCCGAGTCTCCCGACGACCTCGGCCTGCTCTTGGCTTTCGCCTTTGGTTCTCCCGTCCCGCTGCTCGAATTAGCCGGAGTACTCGGAGTGCACGTGGTAGATGGCGGTGCCCTCGCACTTGCCCTCCCTGCCTCCGTGAGTCGCCGCACTTCCGTGGTGACAACAGCGGGGGGCGCCCTTCTGCTTCCTCGGCTATAGCGACTCTTAAGCCAGCGCTTTTTTGGCTTTGCCCTATCCATAAGGAACACCTCATCAGAGTCACCGGCGTCCTCGTCCTGGGTGAGGTCATACATTTGCACCACATCCGTATCCCCCTCCATATTCATGCTCCATCTGCCGTCAGCACACTGGGTAAGATCGACGGCATTGTTGGAGGTGCTCCCTTGCTCTTGCCCGACACCCTCGTCATTCGAATGCGAGTGCACCGTCAAGCATGCCGGCACGTGCACGGTGTCATCCTGGTCCCCGTAGTCACCTTCCATGTTGCTCCCAAGCCCGATGCCCTCAACGCCTTCCGACTCGTTACCCTCGGCAACCGCAAGGACCTCGTCATCCGCAGTCAAGTTCACCATGAAGGCCGGTTGTCCCTGAGTTCCCACATCCACGGGTGCAGTCGCGGGAACCTCGTCATCAGGCTCCCACGTAGTGAGGATCCGGTACAAGGAGGCTTCTTCTTGGATGGCCCAATCACTGATGTGCTCAGGCGGCTCAACTCCCATGGTGTCTGCTGGGGCCACTGCCACCTCGATCTCCCTCAAGTAGCCCATGGCCCGGCTCACATAGTTGGAAGTTGCTCTTCCAAGAGCCCTCTGACGAAGAAGCTGGAAGGCCCAGCCATCATCCCCTTCCAGATGTACCTGTCGAAGGAAGCGTGTGACCCTTTGCATCCAGACCACTTTGCGTTCGTGCTGGGTCAACATAGGAGTGCTGTCAGCATTGATTTGCTGTTGCCACGCCCGTTTGCCCATCGCCTGGTGAACCCGATAGTGCATCGAGGGCATTTCATCACTCGACGAGGAGGAGGCACCCTCCACGGGGAGATCAAGGATCACCTTGACCACCCTGGGTAATTCCCTTTTCCGGTTGAACTCCTTTCGCCTCGCCCTTTGGGCCTCAGATTCAGGGTCCGCCGCCGCATGCAGGGTCACCAGCTCAATTGGAAGAAGGCCCGCCTTGGCCTCCAGCTGAGCTTGTTCCTGCGGGTAGTACTCTTCAAGGAACTCCTGGTGCAGGGCGTCCTCCACGTACCGCGCCCACATCATTTCCTGATCTTTGAGAGGTCGTACCACCGCCGTCGGGTCTAGGTGAGCCGACAGAGTATGTTCAAGATCCGCCAGAATGTGCGGCAGGAACTCCGTATAGTAGGGGTCGTCCCGGGTGCACACCAGGTAGTAGAGGAAGTTCATCATCTGACTGGAGTCGCTCCCTTCTGCAACCAGTGATCTTGCCGTCATTCTTGCCTGGTAGTACCAGTGTGGGGGCCAATCGCCGAAGACTTCGGGTGGTTGGGCCATCGGCATGGGTTGCATCGAGAGCAGTCCCAAAAGGCCAGCATGCCCGTCCCACCTCATTCCCGCGCACACACTCCACAGTGAGTAGAGGGCCACAGGCACAAGGTTGCGCATCGAAGGAGACGCCCAGCGATTCGCCATATGGAAGATCGGAGAGAGCGAAGATCGCTATCGCTGCGGGCCAGCTCGACCCAAGTCTGTGGCCACGGTGTTCGAGCACGACTCAAGTTTGACTCATCAGTGAAACCCTTGTAAACCCTTTGCTCCATCCCAGTAGTCGCCGGAGAGGAAATGCACTCCAGACGCTGAACGAAAACCCTTTGTAGTGAAACCCTTGCGAAGCACGTCGAGGTACCTCCTGATCACTTGAAAGAAAACCCTGTTCGGTGAAACCCTTTGTAAGCACCCACTGCACCATTGTCAATCCCTGGTCGAAGGAGTACCAAGCACATGACCGTCGCTGCATGCTGGACGAGAGTAGACAAAAGCGAGCATAGTAAAGCCGAGGCTGTAAGGAGGTTGCTGTTCAGGTAAGGCCATCACCATACCTTCATCACGCCACCCCCAATTAAGCATCACCCAAACTCAGCTGTTTTCCTGAAGACCACGGAAGGTCCTGCTGTTGTATCCATCTCCGCCCTGCATCAGCCCATCTAACCCTGTCCCTCGCAACTTCCCTCCAGGGTCCCAGACACGCTTTGTCCATGGAGATCTCCAAGCTTGTAAGTCGGGCGTAGAGCTTGGCCGGATGTCGGAGTCCGACTCCTTCGGGCAGGGCTTGTTGCTCACGCCACCACTGAAGAGTCCGAAAGCGGTCGATCCTGGATGAAATAGGTGGCTGATCTCTGAAGCACGCTCGCTCTCTATGCCCCGAAAAACCCCACCATCTATTAAGCCAGGTCGTCGACCACCTGGAGACACCCGCCTTGCACAAGACAGCTCTCGAAGCCCTCACCGACCGTCTTCTGAAGTCCGGCCAGCTCTCCCCCTTGCCCTTCGCATGCCGCATCAACCAGCCTAAAAGCATCGCCTGGCATGTTTGTCCGGTGGGATGGCCCCCAAACACCACATCAAGCTAGGAGTTTGTGACGACTCTGTCCATGAGGCATACTCTCCCACTCACCGGTGTGCGGCGCCTGAGCAGATGCTTGATAGACCAGAACTTATTCCGAGCCCTCGTAAGCAGTGGTTGCAGAAACTGGCACGTTGTCATTCCAACCCTCATGTCCAGGCCCAGCACTGTGATGAAGCCCTGGTCTGAAAGACGGTGTTCCCCCAGTTGCATCGTTCTGGTTTTGCCACTGTAGGGTGAGCAGTAGAGCTTGCATTTCTTGTAGTTCAGCAGCAACCCGTATTCCGCAAGAACAGTTGCGAACTCCTGAAGTTTCCTTCTCAAGCTTTCAACATCCCTGGCCCAGAGTAATCCATCATCCATAAAAAGAGAGTCCTCGCAGGGGAGGTCGGGAAAGAGAGTAGGTCTGTCTTGCCAACGATAGCGGCTCGAAGCTTCACCCAACGCCTGCTCCATAATGTAGGAAAAAAGGAGTGGGGATTCGGTCGCCCCTTGTTTGATACCACTGAACATCCGAAACGTAGACAAACCCCACACTGTCTGTAGCGTTGCCTCCGTACTACAGAGCAAGTTCCTAAGGCATCTGCATTCAGGTGTGTCGCCTAACAGCTGCTCCAGCTTATGAATGAGCTTGGTCCGACTGAGCGAATCGAACGCCTTGGAGACGTCAATCTGGGATATCACAAGACCCTGTTTCCACTCTTTCTCTAACTGCAATAGACGGTATATGGCAAAGATGACATCTGAGCATTGACGCTGCCCTCCCGCACATTGAGCGTGACTAGTGTAGGCAAAACGATGCGATACCCTGTTCAGCACAAGCCTGGAGAAGAGCTTGGAGGCCGAACTGCCCAGGGCAATTGGTCTCAGATTCGACGGAGAAGCAGGTTGGTCAGTTTTTGGGAGGACGATCAGCAAGGGTTGATTCCATGCTGGCGGAATTACCTGTGTGCATAACACACGATTCATAAACTCCAGCAAGTGACATTGTCCACCTTCAATGTTGATCACCCCTTCAAGAAGCTCCTTCGAAGTGAGGTCACGCCCAACCGACTTTCCCCCTTTAAGCTGGGATAAGGCTGTTCGGAGTTCTTCAACCGTGAAAGCCTGAACCTCCTGGTCCGCGTTGTATTTCGGCTCAATGTCCTGGCCCTTGTAGAGCGCACTTAGGTGATCATGTACCGTGGCATGCGGGTCCCTAGATTGCAGGTCGGCATACTCAATCTCCCATCCCTGTTTGGTGGCCACTTTGCTCTGCTGAAACGCCTTCCAGTCGCCCTGCAGAGCCCTGTCCTGACGTGCCTTCTCCCACTTCTGCCGCGCCGCACGGCGGGAGGCGAGGGCCCTTTTCCAAGCCTCCCGGGTCCGTGAGATCTTCGCCTGCTGGAACATAAGGACAACGTGCTTGGGGTCCTTATAAGCCAAGCTCCTTCGTGGTTTCGTGCAAGTCCGAGCCAATCCCTCCAAAACCCCTTGGTCAATGTGCTCAATCTTGCTCGGGCCCCCTATCCAGACACGAGGCTTGGTCTGGCACCTCGCAACCACCTTCCCCTTTACGACCTTGAAGACTCCTTGCAGAAGCTCGTGGTCCGTCCCTATGCTGTAGCATGAGTCCCTGTGAATGATCATGCCCTCATGTCTGAAGCGGGACGTCGCAAAGAGATCAATCTGTTTGCCTTCCCGACCCTCCTGTCTAGGTCTCGACGTAGGCAAAGCCACATAGGGGGACCTAGGTGGCACCAGGGAAAGGTCGTGCTTGGCAAACCTGTCCAGGAGGAGCAGAGCTTTGGCATCCCTCCCCGACGGCTGTAAGGTGCCTTCACCCTGAGTCCATGCCATACCTGCGTTCGCATCCCCTTGCACCACAATTCTGTTCTTGCCTGCGGGCTTTTTCCGGAGGAAAGCATCCACCTGTGAAGCGAAGCAATCAACTGTACACCCCGGAGTGACGTGAAAGGTAGCAACCCACAGCTCGAAACCGTCACAAAGTCGCCGAAGTTTGAACCAGGAGCCCTTGCCCGCCGGCACTCTTCGGAGGATAGACCAAGCATCCTTGCAGAACATAACCCCCGTCCCTCTCCATTGATCCTTGTGTTGGTAGGAACAAACTGTCCAAGCATCCTGGTGCCACGTACTCCACCCATCCTGAACCCTTGGTACTTCTTGAAGTAGAAAAAGCTGACTCGTGTGTAATGGTTGCCCTGTTGAAAGACGAGCTGCTTCCGTGAGATTTCCCAGTTCAGCACCACCCACGTTCCATCCCAGTATCGAGAATTCTTGCTCAACATGGTTGTCGACCGATAGCAAGCCCTGATTCCGGGATCCCTGCAAAGTGCTCAAATTCGTTCTCCCGCGCACGGCCGCTGTTTTAACAGCCTTGACGCCAGAGGAGGCGCCGTACCCTTCCGGGGCAGCACCCTGACAGGCATTCCTGGTCCCATGCACCTCGTGAGATCTTGCAGAAGCATCCGCAGCACCCCAGTTAGCAAATGAATTCCCACTCCTTTCAAGCCGCTCCACATCATCTTGACAAGTGCGGAGCAAACCAAGGAGTTCGCCAAGATCCGGCTCCTGTCATCGACGGTTGGCATCGAGTGCCCCCCTGAGCTTGTCAACCGGATGCCCTGACTCTTTTGCCAGTGCTCCCAAGTCAACCCACTGCGGCCCTGTGTCCTCTGATGGTATCGTGATCATCTCATGCGAGTTCGCCCCGTTCCCTGGTTGTCTTGTCACGCTAGCGATCAAACTCTCCCCAAGCCAGGCCGATCCCGTGCTATATTCCAGATCAACTGACTGAGCAAGGTCGTCAGAGATGGCCCCCAGGGATCTCTTGATCCAGGAGCAGTGCCCTCCCATCTGGCGTTCCGCCCTCGTCTTACTGTATGAGCACCAGAGCTTTTTGCCAGCCGAAGTCCGGGCATCCGCAGAGTTAACGGTGGTAAGCACTTTGTGCATTCTGGCTTTCCTGGCGGCATCGGATTCCTGGAGTCGCAAGGGCATGTTGAGGAGTGCAAGGGATCTCCGCGGGCCAGTGGTGAAGACCGATTCATCGACCGAAGTGGTAAGCCCCAGCCGGGTGAGTGCCTCGGTGACTTCCATAACAATAGTCTGACGTCGAGTGTCTCGTTCCCATCCGCCGAAGACGAGGGTCTGGCGCCTGCGCTCGTCATCAGGCTTGACAGAAGGCGGTCGCTGCTGGATGAGTGACTCGAGCTTGGCCAAGCGCTCCTGAACCCCCTCAACCGTGGTTGCAAGCCCCTTGGTAGCCTGCTCCATCCCTGCCATGCGGGCATTCTGACGTTCCTCGAGCGCGTTCACCAAACTCTCCGAGTGACTGTTGTTAGCTTGAAGGATCTTGCCCGCTTGCTCGTCCAACAAATCCCTGAGATCCCGAAGCGTAATGTTGGCGAGGCTCACTGAGTCATCCGAGGAGGTATCATCACCCTTGGCTCCCCGCTTCTTGGCAGGGCTGTCCCCATCAAGGTCAGGATCAAAGTCAGGTATGTTCAAACCCGGAGCCCCCAACTGCAGCCCTTTGGACATGGCCAGTCGCCTACCTGACAGGCTTCACACCGCGGCGACCAGGGCAGGTACCTCGGCCTTGAGCCAAAATGGCTTGAGCCGGTTAGAGTCTAGGGTTTAGCGCGTAGGGGCCTCAACAGATGTGTTTCCCGTTGCTGCTGTCAATTGGCGGCAAGCCGTCAATGTTTGCTCTAATGTTGCTGTGTATGGGAGCTTTCAATTGATCCCGAAGAGTGATACCCTAAACTCAAAGCCCGAGTTTGGCTCACGAACGGGCCCTCATAGCCCCAATGACAATCCTTTTGCACCCTTCTGGCTGCTGTAATTTATCCCAACTATAACCCTACCGACTGAGTACCTAAGAAGGGATGATCGCTTCCGATAAGGTGTCGCGGCTCACCCGAGCAGGGTGCCC